GGTCTATAGGGCCCTTCTGTGGTTGTGCTCAGCTTCTTGGGCCCTCTCCTGTCACTCCTGTCCTTGCTCCCCTTCTCCTACCTTGACTTCCATGACTTCTCTGCCTACAGTGAGCTGGGAGTTGGCCTCTGTCGGGTGTTCTGGGTGTGCTGGGCCATGCAAAGTCTAATCAAAATCGTTTCTTCCGAGTCTTATTGCCATAGTTCATTTGAAATTCAGATTGACGGCTCTGTATTGATTCCTTACTTCCAATTGATGTTGGAACTGAAGAATGAGAATCTGAGCATCATTGATCTGGCCTTTCTTCCAACAGCTGCTTGAGGAACACTTGGGCTCGCTGGAGGGAACTCTTGAGGGTGGATGGGGAGGAGCCATCCAGTTCTTCTTGTCTTTGAGGAGGCAAACATAGGCATTTTCTCCCAAGGGAGTCCAGACAAATTCAGATCCCAAGATCAGGTGCATGACAAAGAGGAAGTGTTATAGGTTCATAAAAGGAGGGCCAAGGGCTGGAGGACTGCGGAGATTCTCCTAATCTCCTCACTTTTTATCTCAGGAGATTAAAAGCCAAGAGACAAAGGCCACACCGCCCCATCTTTGTCATATCACCCTACCCCAGCCCTCTGCTGAACTTTACTTCTGGATGTTTTCATCATCTGTGTTATTGGTTGTCACACATGAGGTCCTCTGAGTACCAGAGATTCTTAGTGTAACAAATCCCAAGGCAAAATTGATAGATGTCTAATATCCTGTCACTGAAGACACCAGAAGACTTTGTCCCCAAAGACCTCACTGACCTTCTGAAAATTACGGCTCATCAAATCTGCCTCAACAAAGTCTGATCCACCAGTAACGTTCATTAATCCCTGAAACAATTTACATCATTTCTAAATACTTTTGCAAGGTCAGAAAATCCTAATGATTGAGCATTTCACCTCCCGGATTCATTCCCAGCTTCTCTGTCCAGTACCTCACGGTCCACACACAAATCCTTAAGTCCCTCAAGGTGACGGCTCCGAATATGCATCAGGAGCTCCCTGAGGCATATTTACTCTACCCAGATGCACGCAGCTCAGATCCACTGGGGGTGAGGGGCTTAAAATAATCCTGTGCAAATTGTACTGTCTAAATATAGGCAGAAATGTACAAGGATTATCAAGTGGAGGGAAAAGGCTATTTTGGCATAAAAATGAATGGAGCTTTTGTATCAGGGAAAAATAAAGGAACCTTTGGACTAGGGCTGTGAGGAAGGGCAGCGTGATTTATAGTTGCTGAATACAAGAGTAACACTGACTTAATACTGAGCCAATTGTCTTTCAATCCCGAGAGTCTGGCTTTGTCTCCAGCACCTTCTGAGGCTGCTGATCCTCCTCCATGACCAGGGGAAGGCCTCAGGCTCGGGAGTCACTGTAGATGTAGAACACACACAGGGCAAAAATTATGCAGGTGAAAAACTACAGCTAAACAATACCGAGGAGAGACTGGAGACCCGACTTTCAAAAGAATTTCAGTATGAGCCTTTGACACAACAGAGGGTTGTCTGATAATCCATGATTATATCTTCTCGGTTTTTAAGTGTGGTAAATTCGACACAGTGCATGGCAGGGTCGCTAGGAGTCAGATGCAGGTTTTGATTTTCTTGGCACACCAGGACATATAACAAGCTGCAGAAGCAAACAGTAATCGAAGCTGTGCTGATTTATCCTCTTGACCGTTCACCAAAGGCTGTTTCAAATGTTGTGGCATTTGCATGAGTCCACTCTTGAAGTCAGACTTCTAGCAATTTCCTTCATCCATTAAACTGCTGTGTGACCTGAAGCCAGATACTTAACCTTTTAGGGTCTTGGTCACCTCCAGGTCGGCTCAGCACCTGGCAATGTCAGATGACCAAATGGAGAGTTCTTGCTGCAGACCTGAGAACTAGCCTGAGCCAGGACTCAGCAGCTTTGGGGAGGGTCCCACTACTAAACAGCACTTCATGCCCATGGCCAGTGGTGCGGGACAAGTTGGGGCGAGTTCACTCTCCCACTGTGCTGCATGATAGGATTCAGGCTTATGAAAGAGGCCTGAGGGCCAGCAGCGGTGTGTGCGCACCAGTGGCTGGGGACGGAGGATGATGACCCCAAACCCTATCAGGGAAAGGAGGCCCTGAGCGAGGACAGAGCATGGGAAACTTCGCCTCTGCCATGCTAGACAGTCTGAAAGGGACGGCCTCTTACCACAAAGCTGCACGTCACCTGCTTCTGCTCACAGCAGAGCAGCCACGAGTTGGCGCCAACAGGGCCAAGGTCTTGATGGTGGCTGGGGATGGTACCTGGAAGGTCACACACACACACACACACACACACACACACACACACAGCGCAGGGAAAGGCGCAGATAGACCGAGTGCCTCCTGTGTGCCAAAACCTGACCCAGTTCCCTTCCCCTGTGCTAGCAGAGCTGCTCCTTGTGCAAAACTCATCTGATAGTCAAGCAAATTAACTTCAGAAAGGTTGAAGTAGCCTTCCCGGGGTGGCACAGCTGGTAAGTAACTGATGCAGGATGGATCCCAATCTTCTGTTCTTTTGCTCTTTTGCACTCTTCTATCTGTCTTGCTATACAGATCAAAAACAAATGTATGTAAGGAGCTGGGGAGATAACTCAGCAGCATAAGCTCCTGCCTGCCAAACACAAGGTCCTGAGTTCAATTCCCCTGTACCACAATAAATAAATAAATAAATAAATACAAATATATGTGAATATACACCACAAACATTCTTCTCCAAAGCATTTCATACACTTACACCTTCTACCCCAACCATATATACAGCCACATACACAGTAAGATCTCATACCAAATGCCACACTTGTCACAAACACAGGTATTAATATTTTTGCATATGCTAATCTAAGAAGCTAATTTTTCTTTTTGGTACTAATTTTTCTTTTCGGGGACTTGAACTCAGAGCCTCGTGTCAGGCAGGTGCTGGGCCACTGAGCTCATCCCTAGCTACATACACTAATCTACATGACAGAATCCACTCCACATCCACAAACATCTCGGTGCACACTCTAATCCCAGCACACATCTGTTACACACCCATCCATTTGCACTCATAACACATATGCATGTCACACCTAGAAGTCCACCCATGTCACAGAAACTCTCCTGCATCCACAGCCGCACACATCCAAACCAGCAAGTGTTCTCACCCCCTCGCAACTAGCTGCTTAAGACATGAGTGAAGTGTCTTCAGATTCCCAACCAAGAGTGTCTGAAGAATCTTGGAATACCTTCCAAATCCTCAAAGAAATATTAGATTCTGTCTTTGGCTTTATTATATATATCTAATTATTTTTAAATTGTTAATCTATACATATTTATAATCACTTCCTACTAGCCAGGATCATTGATTATATTAAGCAGCATATTATTTATTCATTGACTCACTTTCTAATCACTGAGCACCAATCAAGTCTGGGAAACCATGGTTCACACAGTAGAGGACTGACAGAACAAATAAACAATAAATAAGTAAATAAACAAGAAACAACAGGATCCCTGCTTGAAAAGCACAAATGGCTGCATCACATGATGGCCTGGCTCATGGGTTGATGGGACCAGGTGAGAGAGGAGAGCAGGACAAGGCCAGGCGATGGCCTGAGGCTTCTGGGTGCCCAGAGACTCACAGGTGTCGCCTGGCGTTGCTATGGTCTGGAGGGGTGGCGTGGGAAAGAAAGCGTGGCATGCACTCTGGAAGGTAAATATGCAGCACAGACAGGACACCAAAGGTGACACACTCCGCAAGCTTTCAAAGGAGTTGAAAACTCCACTCCGGGGATGGAACTGGAGATTTGGAGTCCCCCAGGAGAGCAGGTCACTTGAACGTTTACAGTGGGCGTGGTCAGGGCAGGTGCAGAGGTGCGGACGGGAAGTGGAGCCCACAGCCGGGGAGCACCGTGCCCTGCCTGACGTAGTGGCAGAAGCTTCCTTCTGACAAACAGAGCCACACGGCTCTCCTTCCGCACGTCAGGCCCAAGCACACACAGCAGGGTGGCTCAGCGTTCCAGCCGCCTCTCGAGCGTCACTGCAGGGTTAGGAAACCTCAGGGGCCCGTGAAACCCAGTGGAGGTTCTTCAACCTCCCGTCAGGACACACAGTGAAATCCGGGTGCCTCTGAGTGTGTGGCGGGGAAGGGCATTGTCCTTAGACATTCATGACTCGGACTGGTAGAAAGCAGGAACTGGACTGCTGCGTTGGCAAGGACAGTGACAGAAAACACATGGAGCGTTCGCGGCGATTGGATTTCAAATCCCTGATTCTTGGCACGAAGAGGCAGAGAGCACTGCTCACAACCCCAGGGTCTATGTTGTCCCCTCGCCCCGCTGGGTGTCCACAGTCCCCACTGAACATTTTCTGAAGTGGATGTTTAATGAGATAGTTGCCCCCAAACTGAGAGAGTATAACCTTGTTAAGGATTCCATAAGGACCCAAGGTAAGCATGACTAGTTAAATTTGTATTCCCAAATACATTTGGCTCTGGAAACCTTTTATTGCGTTTTGTTTTGTTTTAATCTGTGGCTGATTTGGAAGAGAGCCTTGAAAAAAGGCTGGGCTGTTTCTACCATACAGTCCCTTCTGGGTGTATCATTCCCTGGACCAAACACATGCAAGTACCCAAAACTCAGGGCTGAATCTTCCAGATGGTTGAGCCTTCGATCTCTCCTCGCAGGGAGACCCAGCAGCCACTGTGATGACTGCAAAGCCCAGAGATGAAGCCTCCAAGGAGCCAGTGGCTTCTCGGCCTTGTCAGGGCCTTGGCTGCCTGCTGGGGTCCCAGGTGGGATCACCTGCCGGCCGGGGAAGCACTTCAGCCTGGGCCCTCGCTCACTCGGGACACCTGTGGCCCACTTCCCCACCGAGAATGTCCTGGCGGTTCTGCAGCAGCTGGACAAGGCCAGGACCTTTTATAGCAGAAGAAAGAGCCACCACTAACCCTTTGCTTTCCCCTCTCCCTTAGTCTCGCCGCTTCCAAGGAAGCCGAAGCTGCCCGCTCTGCTCCCAAGTCTATGTCACCCTCGGACTTCCTGGATAAGCTCATGGGAAGAACTTCCGGATACGATGCCAGAATCAGGCCCAACTTTAAAGGTAGAGAAACATTGCTTTCATATCCACTGAGAATGCTTTCCCAGATTACAGAAGCAAACAGCATGTTGCTCTGGGCACACGGTATGAGTCCCATGGCCCCTCCTTTCCTACCCAGGGCCAACCCTGCTAATCAAGTCAACCTTTTCTCCCACCAAACCCAGGCAAAGCCCTAGAGCATCCAGCTCCACAGCACCGTTAGCTGCTTGCAGTCAGTAAGTGAATCAAGACCAAGTTCTACTCTGGTGCAATAGATCCACAAGGAATGTGCACGGTAGATTTGAGTCTTGGCTCAGTCACAGACATGCTCTCTGAGCTTGGGTAGCCTCTCCCTCTCTCTGGACCCTGGCTTCCTGGCTCTGCCATGATGGGACGGGCAACATCCACAGAGTTCAAACATGATCATCCTGGAACTGCAGGACTTCCCTCAGGTGCTCCACAAGGGAGCCGGAGTGGAGGGCAATGAGCAACTCCTCCTCTACTTCTCCCCACACAGCTTCACTTTGATTTGCTTTTATTTATGTTATCCAATTCTATCTCTTGTATTTTTTTTAACACTTGGTTATTTCTTTTCTGAATATTTTAAATTTGCATTGGTCCACGCATGCGCTACTTAATGACGTCATTCACCATGGGATGTTGCTGCGTGCACAGAACAGGTCTTAATTCTTTTCACTTCCCTCCACTTTTATTTGTTTTGATAAGGGGGCTCCACACTCAAATGCATATGCTGGAAGGTTCTGAGAGATTAACAACAGTCCTGAAAACCTCTCATCTCCATCAGAATCACAACTTCAAGTGCCTCCTCTGAGCTGGAGCCCACAGACCCTATAGGAAGGAACATAGGCTTCAGGCTGCCAAGTCATCCAGGATTCCAAGAAAAGCCAGAAGTCAAGGTCTCTGTGAACCTTCCTCACAGAAATTCAAATAAGACGCGTTTGCGAGCCACACATGCCCCATGGTTCGCTAGATCATAAACCCCAGTCTAGGCCAGCTGAGGGGGTTCACTCGCCTTCACAGACCTGGGGGACCTGAATGTCTACAGCAAGGGAGGCCTGGCCTCAGCATTCACTGGTGCCTGAGAAGGCAGCATCTTCTCCTTGGGATGCTGTGCAACATGACCTTTTTCCAGAACCCCAGTAAAAATCTTGGCAGTGATGTAGGCCTGTAATCCCAGCACTTGAGAGGCTGAGGCAGGAAGATCATCATGAATTCAAGGCTAGCCTGGGCTATACAGTGAGTTCACAGCCAATCTAGACTACATAACAAGACCATGTCTCAAAAACACAAACAAAATCTTGTTGCAAGGGTTCACAGACAACCTACGCCTCCATTCCTGCTCCTTTGGCGCAAACCCAATAACCAACAAGGGGTGTGGCATCTGGTAGTGGCTTCCTAGTGTATGCCTCCTTGGCCTCTGGTCTCCAGGCTGGGCTCAAACTTGCAGTCCTACTGCCTCAGCCTCCCAGAGTACTGGGCTTACGGGCACATGCCACCACCCCCAGCTAGCACCCACGTTCCTTGCACCTTGATCTGGAGGCCTCATCCTCCATCACCAATGCTGTGACAGTGGCTCCTGTAAGGACAGTAAAGTCAGGACCGACGCGGATCTCACAGCACACTTGACCCAAGCCCTTCCTCAGAGCTCCAATCTCAAATGACCACACTGGCAAGGTCCATGAATGCAGTAGGGTGGAGATAAGGGGAGAAGAATGGAAAGACACCTGGCTCAGGGCAACCAGGTCTCAGCTCCTGCCCGTGGCTGCCTAGAGGGAAGGCAGCCCTGGGTGACTAGGCCTTCCAAGGCTAGAGTTAAATCGGGGTTCTGCATGAACAATTCTAAATTGGAAACTCAATCACATCTTTTCAAAACACCATTGGCCAAACCAAACTTGTTCTGGACTGGTTATGGCCCTCAACCACCACCTTGAACCTTCTCCCCTCAAGAGGATCTATTAGGAATTCCAGTCCACTCTGCCCCCTGGTGGGTTCTCTCAGAACTCCACCTGCGCCAGGGTGTCATATCTTGCTCATAAGCCAGAGGCGGGTGCATGCCGGGTGTCCGTGCCATCCTCTTCTGTGCATACCACCAAGCGTGGTGCATGGAAAGCCCTCAGCTACGCTGCCCTAAACCAACGAACAAATAAGCCAGCAAGCATGCCTACTAAGCCAAGACTGTGAAGACTGGGGAATTTTTTTTGTTGTTTTGTTTTTCTTCTTTTGAGAGAGAATCTTGCTGAGTACCCCAGACTGTCCTTGAACTCACAGCAATCCTGCCTCAGCCTCCCTGACTCCTTTTTTTTTGTCTAAAGCTTATTTATTCATTCATTTGCTCACTTACATAGTGATCGATTTTGGTTAGGTTCGGTTTGGTTTTCTGGAGGTATGAGAGATGGAGCCCAGGAATTTGCACTGAACTATCCAGAGCCCCTTTTATTTTTATTATGAGACAAGATCTCACTAAGTCAGAGTTGCCCAGGCTGGGCTCGAACTTTCAATCCTCCTGCCTCAGCCTCCAGAACAAGTTTGGTTTGGCCAATGGTGTTTTGAAAAGGCTCACAAACATGCACCACCACCCTCAGCTAGCAGTTGACATTTTTAAGAAAAATAAATGTAATTCAGACCACTGAATCAAGACCCTTCCCCTCCTCGTTTGCAGGCTACTCAGAACTCAGAGCTGCAGAGCTAGACAACCCCGTGGGCCTTGCCCAATCATGCTCTCAGCTCTTTGGCCCCCTCCTGACTTGAAGTAAGATGCAGTTTCCTCTACCTCATTCCAAGAGCCAGGGAAAGGGTCTCCCTTATGAAAGGTGGAAGTTTGGCAAGAAAACATGTCTGCCCCCTTCACTCCCATGATTCCTTTCTCACTTCTACTGGGGCACGAGGATTCCCAAGGGCCCCAGACAAACCCAGAGCTCCTGAAAAGGCCCACAGGTCAGGCCTCCAGTGACCCCAACACCAAGGTAGAGGCCAGCACTGTCTGAACACCCTACACTGCGATTAATCACTCTGCAGTTTCCTCGGACACCAGATACTTGCCTGCTCCTGACCCCTCCTGAAGATAAGCGTGGCCAAGCCCCACAGGCACAGCCTGCTGAGTGCCAAGCCAATGCCAGTTACAACTTGGAAGGAAAGAGCGCTACCTACCTGATACGTGTGACCCTGAATAAATCGTGACGGAGCCTGGGCCTCTTTTCGGCATCTGTGGAATGATGCAATGGGACGCTGGCCTCCGAGCTCCAGCACGCTGTTTCTTTTCTAAGATCTCATGTATTATAATGCCGGTCAGGATCAGGGGCACAGCCCAATGCAAACACATACACAAAAGCAAAATTAAACTTTAATATTTAATGAAATATATACATTATCCCTGCTGCCAAAGGCAGCTGGATTGTAATTTTCTCAAGATAATTTAATTTCAGATTTATATCAATGAACTGTGCCTCCCCATGGGGTCCCTTTGGCTGATGCCCTCTCTCACACATAAATCAGGATCTAATTTATATGGGAGTCACAGCCCCAGATGCTCATGGGCCTGGGTGGGAACCGTGCGCTCGCCGTTTGGAGGTGTGGGCAGTAACTCTTTAGAGCATCTTAATAGTATGAGGCTAAAAAAGAAAATCTGAGACTGAAGCTAAATGAGGGGGAAAAAATGGGCCTTTGTTTGCTTAGGTGGAAATGACAATGAGGCAGATTTCCACTCAGCAGAAGGAAGCAATTTGCTAACACAGAGCACTACCCAGCCAAGAAAAGGGCTGCTCCCGGGGCAGCAACTTCCTCCCTGCTGGAGCTGTGTAGGACCTCAGCCTCACAAAGGAAGCGATCTATTGCAGAAAGCCTCAACCTGGCTGCGTAGCTCAGTGAACAGTACACTCTGGACTAACATCCAGAGATCTGAGCTCTCCTAGTACAGGGTCAGGCCAAGGAATCTGCAGTTTAACAAGCTTCCCAGGTGATTCTGCTGCAGTTAGCCTTGTCCGCACATCCGTTGGGGGACCTGTGGGTGGGGTGACTTGTTAGGAATCCTTCCAGGTCTGAAGGCTCAGATCCCTGAAGTTCAAATACACTTAAAATGGATCGTTTCCATCAGAGAATACCAAACCACTAGAGCTGAGAATGATGGCCCAGATCAAGAGCTACTCTCCCTCCATGGGAGGAGACTGACAAAGAAACCAAGATGCACAAAACGGAAGAGGTGAGCTGGACACAGTGGCACAGGCCTATAATCCCAGCACTCTAGGAGGTTGAGGCAGGAAGATCAACATTTCAAGCCCAGCCTGGACAACTTAGTGACTTAGTGAGACCCTGTCTCAAAATTTTACAAAGGGGTGAAGACATAGTTCAGTGTGAATGCCCCAGGTTCAATCTCCAGTAACACACACACACACACACACACACACACACACACACGAAGACACACCCATAAGGTCAAGCAGCCTGTAAAGACTGAAGTTCCATCTGCATTCAAGAGTTCTTGAAACTCTTAGAAAGAAAACCCTGGATTCTCACCCCAAGACTAGGTCCTCACTTATCCACCAAGATTTCTAGAAAAAAGAAAAAAGAAAATTGTAGCTGAGTTTGGGTGCAATTCGTGGGAAACCTTCTTTAAGAAAGATAAAGTGGAGGACATTACAGAGGATATAATGATATCTAACCTTTTCTTTCCACAATCAGTAAACTTGGGTCTACTCTCTTTTAGCTAAATGAGCCTGAGTAAGTTAATAAAACTCTCTCCCCGGTCATTGGTAAAACTAGAACACTAATTCTTCCCTGCCTCTCTTTCCTTCACGGGGTCAAGAAACGGAACCTAAGAAAATTCACAGATTATAGTCTTTATGAGGAGTATAACCAATTATCAAGTCCTAACCACACTCAAGGTCAACTCAAGGTCATCACTCTATGAGCTGTTTCCTGTGAGAACCTTCCTCATCCAGTCTACTGTTTCGTACTTCTGTCACTCAAGATCTCACATTCCCTTCGTTGCTCCCTCTTGTGGCAGTCCCAGTGCTTGATATCCTGGATTCTGCGCTATGTGACAAAGAGCTCGCCTCTTCCTCCTCTGAATCTCTTTCTTACCTATAGTGTAGCCATTAAGAGAGCCACCTTTCAAGTTAGGCAGATCTGGACTCAGACCGTGGTTCAACTACCTACTAGCAAGGTGGCCATGAGCAACCCATTTAACCTCCCTGAGCTTCTATTTCCTCCTCAGTAAGAGAGAGGTAATAGCCAGTCCTTCTCACGGAGCTGTTGAGAGACTAGAAAGAGCTAATAGTGACACTCTCCACACATGAGCAAACCCTGAAATGCTTGGCAACTGGTGATGCTCTTCATTAAGAGGATAAAGCAAAGAGACCGCGTTTCCACTAGACAGAGTTCCCTCCAGCCATGAGATAGCAAAGCAGTGACTATTCCTCCACTTCCTCCCTAACCTTTGCAGAAAGATTCAGAAGACTTGCCTGGATGATATTTAACACAGAGCAGCAGACCTTCCTGGAGGTCCCTCTGGATTCCTCAGCTGAGAACTCCCATCCCTGCCCTTCCACAGAATCCTTCTTAGTTCACAAGTTCACGGCAAGGAACTCGCTGTTCCTCATGATTCCCAAGACGGCTTCCAAATGTTGTAGCCATAAATACATTTCAGACACAAATTAGAAGGCAGCCGATGGGGCTTGGGGAAGAGATTTCAACCATATGGCAGGATGATGAATCATCCCGCATTAATGAAAGTACATCGCAGCGCAGCCTCTGGCGTCCTGTACCTGCTGCTCACCTGCAGACAAGGGAGTCTGGCGTAGAGACTTGAGATGGAGGCTGGGAATACAGGGCGTTTGGGGGTGGGATGGAGGGCGGGTAAGAGCCGCTCCGCCCGGGGCTCCCTCGCTGCAGTCGGCTCCAGGAACGTGTCCTAGCCGGCTGTGGGTCTCTCCATCATCGGGAGACTAAGCACATATCTCTCTTGATTGGCAGGTCCCCCGGTGAACGTGAGCTGCAACATTTTCATCAACAGCTTTGGTTCCATTGCTGAGACAACCATGGTGAGTGAGTCAAAATACAAGCTGCTGGTTCCTGCTGAGGCTAGCTCTCTCCCTGAAATATTTATCCTCTGCCTTGGTCTCCCCCAAGGAGGTGGAGAATTTTCGTCGAGGCTCTCGTGCAGTACCACAGGGCCCCAGCGTCTACATCCTGTTCAGTCTTTAGCTTCGCATAAAGACGTGACATCTGCAGCGGCTGCAGGAACTAACGGTGCTGCCGCATGCCAGACAGCCAGCATTACAAAAGCACAATTATTCAGCAGGCTACATTTTTAGATTAAAATAAAATGTAAAGACTGGCTCAAAGGTTTCGAATTCAACTGAAAAATGGCAGAAGATTGATGGTTATAGAAGCTGAAATGATATATGGCATTAATTGTACTCTTTGCTCTATTTGTGAATGTGTTTAAAATTTTCTACGATAAAAAGTTTAAAATAATTACACTAGACAAAGACCATAGCTCGCACCACATTCCCCATTTTATGGCTGAGGAAACGAAGACCAGGAAAGTGGCCATCACAGAGCCAGTTAGTAACCAGCAGGAGAAAAAGTCCATCCTTAATCCGCAGATAAGGGCTTGTCCTGGCCACACTGCCTCAGCACCAAGGAGCACGGACTTGAGAAACTGGCGGGCTGGGGACCTACACTGCACATGTCAGCAACAACCTAAGCACTGTCAGCAGTGGAACCCCAACCCCAGACAGGGCCAGGCGTGGCACACCTCAGGGGAAGCAGGGAAGATGCCCAGCAAGAGAAGAAAGTCCCCCCACCATGCAAAAGGCTCACGTGGCATGCATCCATCCAAAGAGTGGCCCACAGGAGAGGCCACGGGCTCCCCATTTACTAAAGAAAGTCTGAGGCAGGGTAGACCTGGTGATTTACCAGCAGGCAGTCTGTTCTGCTGTGATTTTTTTCTTTCTTTCTTTTTTTTTTTTTTAGGAATTCAACAATGGTTGTTACATTGCCTATTGTTGTCTTCAAATTAGTTGTTCAGAATAGCAGATATAACCATGCAAAATTGGCCAGAAAAAAAAGTTATAAGGATTAAAAAGGGGAAAAAATAATTGAGCATTAACCACTCCTTTCAGTGGACCAACAGAAACCATCAGTGCAATTATCCACGCTATCCTGTGTATGTACATATGCATTTCTTTTTCCCCGCCCTCCCTTTCTGTCTTTTTTGTCACCCCAGTTGTTCCTTCCCTTTGAACAGATTCTTTCCCTTTCATAATATCTATTGTACCCGTCAGATTTTACTTACTGTTTCAGGTCCTTGCACTAAGGAATCAGCATGATGTGTGCACATGTGGGCCTCATTCATTTGATTTATCAGTACGGTCTCTAGTTGCATCATTTACCTATAAAAGCCTCACATTTATCTTTCTTTATAGCTGAGTAATATTCCATTGCATGAAAATACCACATCTTCTTTATCCATTCCTCAGTTGATGGGCGTTCAGGCTGTTTCCAAGATTTAGCTACAACAAATTGTGCTGCCATAACCATGGGTGCACATATATCGCTATGGTGTGGTGTTTTCGGTTCATCTTGAAAAATACCCAGGAGGGGAATAGCTGGGTTGAGTGACCTCTGATCCTAGCTTTCTAAGGCATCTCCATGCTGATTGCAACTATATTTGTTTATTTTACTTTGCTAATGATTGATTTAGGAGGAACAAACCCTGAAATCTCAGATGTAGAAAAATTTATTTAGAAATCATCCAGTCCAGCCCTTATTTTGTAGAAAAAGAATCTGATGGCTCCAAGGTCACTTGAGCAAGGTTGTGTCACCTGAGGGGGATGGGCAGAGGCCAGATACTCTGTGGGAGCCCAGGGGACCCCTCCTTACGTTCCTCCTCCTCTTGGCCTCCCCACCAAACCCCGACCACTGTCTTATCCACCACCTCCTTCCTTGCGTGCATCTCAGGAGCAAAGCTGGGCTCTAGTAAGAGCGTGATGCCAGGAAAACCAGCTTATTCTGGAAGAACACTTTAGACATGACCGCGCGAGAGGCACTGTGCAGAGCTTCTCTGTGTGTCATCTAAGTCACTCAGCAACCCCTGGGGGTAAAGAAGTTATCCCTGGCACACAAGGAGGAAACTGAAGGCCAGAACGGTTAGGTTGTTGACAGCTCATAAGAGGCTGAAAGAGGATAGGCGCTCAGCGCTCTCTCACCCCAAATCACATGGCCTCCTGAGCCAAACCTAAGTATTTTTTTCAATTATTTATTTATTATTTGGTACACGGTCTCGCTACGCAGCTCAGACTCATAGTGATCCTCCTCAGCCACCCCAGCACTGGGATCACCAGCATGCACCACCACATCCAGCTTTGGTGGCCATCACAGCATGGGGTACAGGGGATCCAGCCCAAGTCCTTGTGCTTGCCAGGCAGGTGCTTAGACCACTGAGCTATCTCCCCAGCCCCAAACATAAATGTCTACTTCTTAGATTTTGGAGCAAACCCAGCCACGGCTTCTCTCCTTTCTCTGTATGGCATTAGAGCTGACAAGGAAACAGGCCAGAGAAGATGGCACTTGTCCGTGGACACACAGCTAGGAGTGGTCCACGTGGCTCAGGACACTACCTGTGCAGTCACTCAGGGAGCTGTTGTACACAGAGGATCCTGGAAGTCTGCCCAGAGTCCCAGGGTCATAGACCTCAGCTGGGTTTGTTCTCTGGGAACAACACAGAGAAGCTCTAGACGCAGCTAGAGCCCTGAGCCTGACTGCGGCCTCCCTCCCAGGGCCTGGCTTTCTTTGCCAGAGTTAGGAGAGGAGAGCAGGTGGAGGCAGCAGTGAAGCCCAGGGGTCCCTATCCATCCCCTCCAAAGAGGGGAGGGCTGAGCTGTCTATCCATCTTTCATCTGACCTTCCCAGGGATGCTCTGAATCTCTTCAGCATGAAGAAGAAGGAGCCGGGAGAAATGGGTCTGGTTCTAGGGCAGCCCTCAGGTAGCCCAGAAGAGAAAGACGGAGAACTAAACTGCAGAGGAACCAGCCAGCTTGCCTGGACATGGGACTATGAGGGTGCAGAGGGTGCATGCCACAGCATGCGCATGTCTGCATGTCATGTACATGCACATGTCCAGGATTGTGGGATTGTGCAGGTGCACACAGACCCGTGTTTATAGGCATTGTCACTTCAAAGTCTATAAGGACAGTCACTTCAAAGTTTGTACATTTACATACATGCACTTCCATTTACATACATGGAAGTGCATGTATGTAAATGTACAAATGTAGATATGCATGTATGAGTGAGTAGGTATAGATACAGGATATGTGAAGTCTTAAGAGTGAGTGTAGGCTGAGACAGGAGGATCGCAATCTAAGACCAGCCCGGACTACATGGCAAGACCCTTTCTCAGAAAAAAAGTATATTTATTGTCTTTATTCATGTGTGTGCAAATATCAGTGAATATAATATATGAGAACATGTCAGCACCCGAGCCATCATATTTCCATATATATGCTCAGGTGTGTGTACATACATGTGCGTGTGGATGGGTGAAAAGTTATTGAACTGAGTATTACTACTTGAGTGCCTAGCGTATCTAGAAGTATGTACAGGCACACATGCAATTCTGCACATACAGGGAAACATATACCTAGAATTTATGGCACACAGAGTGTGTGTGTGTACACGTGTATATGTGTGTGTGTGTGTGTGTGTGTGTGTGTGTGTGTGTGTGTGTGTTGGCAGCTTTGGCTTAAATCCTAGTCTTTCCATTCTTAGGATGTGGGCTCCAGCCTCTCTTGCTAAGGGTCAGGGCGGCCTGAAACAGAGATAGAGACACTGTAGCCAGGACCCCTGGCAATCCGTAACAGCCTAAGCAATGACAGCCCTCAGGTTCAGCCTTATTTGCAGGCAGTAACGGACCATGGACAGAGTCCTAAGCTAGGAGACAAGGAGCCCAGAGTATGAGTCAGCTTCCCATCACTATAGCGAAGCAACTGCGGCTCATACTGAACTACTTGAGAAGGTGTATTCAGCCCACAGCTTCAGAGGTCTAAAGGCAGGGTGCCCGTGCAGGGTGCGGATGGGGGCACATTGTCGAGGGGATCTGCATATACACAAAGCAAGCGCATCTCCAGCCAAAGCACAGAAAGCGAGCACTTCTGGGAGCATGGTGCCAGAACCCCCAGCAGGCCCTTTGCCCTATAGGTTCCTCCACTTCCCACTGGCGCTGCAGGAAGCAGCCTTCACAGATGACCTTCAGGGGACGCTCACCCAAACCTCAGCACCAGTGTCATCCTAGTTATGCCACCACATAACCCCTCTGTCCCCAGGCAGCAGGCTGTAAGAACAGTACACAGAGTACAGGAGCTTCTCGTGAAGCCTACAGGAATGGAAAGAATTATTCCATTTATAAAATATTAACAACATTAACGGGCTGGGGGGCAGTTCAGTGGTGAAGTACTTAACGACATGCATGAGGCCCTGGAATCAATCCCCAGAATCAAAACAAAAACTACTAAAGTAACACGACAAGGACCCCAACGTGTAAGCATAAGGAAATGCCTTTCCGGCCGTCTGCCTTGGTTTCCTGCTCTCTCCCCGATCACATCAGCTCTTCCCACATCAACGTGAAGGTGCCTATACCTGCTAACTGTGGGTGGGCTCTGGCAGAGGGCTCGGTTCTAGGTTTTCCCACAGCGACAAATTCTCCCTCTACTAAGTTCTCTGCAGATCTAGAGGAATCCGGGGTGACTGTCCTCCCAGCAGTGAGTCAGCACTGCATTTCCACACCAATACGGGATTTCGTCTTTGCCCTAAAAGGGACGAAGGTGCTGAAGCAGTGAATGGTGGTGTATTCGTCAGCTTGGGCCAGCATAACAGAAAACCACAGGCCGATGTGCTTAAATAATAGAAAATTACTTTGCTGCATCCTGGAGGCTAGATATCCAAGAGCAGTGCCTCAGCTGGTTCTGGCGGGGTCTTCTTCCTGCCTGGGGGGCTGCTGCCATCTCCCTGTGTGCCCACGAGGCATCATCCCTCTGCA